CCTCTCCTCTCCTCTCCTCCCTCTCCACTCCTCTCCTCTCCTCTCCCTCCTCTCCTCTCCTCTCCTCTCCCCTCCTCTCCTCTCCTCTCCTCTCCTCTCCTCTCCTCTCCTCTCCTCTCCTCTCCTCTCCTCTTCCCTCATCTTCTTCCCTCCCCTCCCCTGCCCCCTCTCACCTCGGCAGCAGAGCATCAAGCATCCTGTCCTGCCTCTCTCGCTGGTCGTGAAGCATCGTGAGAACTTCGGCGTTCTTGTTCTCCTCGTCTATGATCGCGTGATTCATCCACCTCAACGGGATCAGCACAAGAGTGCTGGGAACCTGCGACAACGATGAGAAAGAGCATGTGTGCGATCTCGACTGACATCTTACGTTGTTTACATAATATCATATCATATCACATCATATCAGGTCAGGTCAGGTCAGGTCAGGTCAGGTCAGGTCAGGTCAGGTCAGGTCAGGTCAGCCCAAGTCAGCTCAGATCAGCTCAGATCAGATCAGCTCAGATCAGATCAGATCAGATCAGATCGTATCATATAAAATCGCATCATATCACGTATCTCACATTGCATCAGACTATGTTCTTACCATCTCGTTCACGACGTACATCGCAAGGGTCCACCAGGAGAACTCGGTGTGCCAAACTCCCTCGAACAGTCTGAGAATATGATCGACGACGACGATGAGAATGTAGAGGATGGTAACAAGATACATCAATCGATCGCTAGTTGCCTCCATCGCCTGTCACATGCTCAGTTCAAAACAATCTTTGACTTTGCCATTGGGCCGTCGTGGTTATCATCATCTCCATCATCATCTCCATCATCATCTCCATCATCATCTCCATCATCATCATCATCTCCATCATCATCATCATCATCTCCATCATCATCATCATCATCTCCATCATCATCTCCATCATCATCATCATCATCTCTATCATCATCTCCATCATCATCATCATCATTTCCATCATCATTTCCATCATCATCATCATCATCATCATCATCTCCATCCCATCATCATCATCATCATCATCATCTCCATCATCATCTCCATCATCATCTCCATCATCATCATCATCCCATCATCATCATCATCATCATCATCATCGTCGTCGTCGTCATCATCATCATACGCACCCCAAGCACAACTCCAAGGAACGCCCAGCTTGTACACGTCATCGCTACAACCCCGTCAAGACTTCCGCCCGACGTGACGATCTGCGAACAATCAGTTTGAACAAAGAGGCAGTTGCGATGTGTTCACCGGAGTCAACAGGAAGACGAAGATGACAAATCTGAAAACAATCGTGTAACGAAGCGAGTCGTGCAAGAAAGTTTCACCTGTGTAGCCTCAACTGGTTGATGGAAGAGAAGTAGAAGTCCAAAAAGAAACAAACAAGCAGAATCACGGAGAGCGCGGCTGCTGCGATAGAAAATTCCTGTACAACAGAGTCAGATCCAAATTGCCAGTGATGTCATCGTCATAATTATCATCTCCATCACCATCATCATCATCGTCATCATCATCATCATCATCATCATCATCATCATCATCTCCATCTCCACCATCATCATTATCATCATTATCATCATCATCATCATCATCTCCATCATCATCATCATCATCATCATCATCTCCATCATCATCATCATCATCATCATCTCCATCTCCACCATCATCATTATCATCATTATCATCTCCATCATCATCGTCATTTCCATCATCATCATCTCCATCATCATCATCTCCATCATCATCATCACCATCATCATCATCATCTCCTCAATCTGCATGATCTCCAACAACAAGCACAATCATGGCATACCAGCGCTCGAGGGATCTTGACGGGAACGTTGTGAACCCCAGCATATGACTCATGTACAATGACATCATTCCGATCAGAGTCTTCGGCTCCGAAGATGATGGAGACGCCAAGAGCGACAGAATGGAAACCGATGGCGATGGCGGACGAGAGGAGGTAGGACCTGCGAGCATGGATGGTCCTGCTGGATGAATGAGCCAAGGGGAGGAGATCATCAACCATGGCGGTGGTGAAGAGCATGGCGGACGAGGACGAGGACGAGGACGAGGACGAGGACGAGGACGAGGACAAGGACAAGGACGAGGACAAGGAAGAGAAACGGAGAACAAGAGGACAAGTGGGGGGCGAAGTCGAGTTTGATACGACCTGTCGGAAGTTCTTTTCAATCTTTCCGCATGTTTTCTCTCTGTGATCATCTTGTGCCTCGCAAAGTTTCTACCAGCTTGTCATGAAACGCCGCAAGTATCGTTACATGCCAACCTGCTAGCGTCGCTTCTTGCAGAGCTGCTACCAACACCTTCTGATTCCTGTATATCATCGTCATCATCGCAAAACTCTCGACACACTGATGTACAACCTGATCATACAACCAGAAAGCTGTTCGATGAGCGCTCACACTCCCCCCCCTGCTGTTCAACCCTGTCTCGTTTCCAGACTCCTAACAGAAAGATATGTGAGAAGAGAAGATAAAGGATGCCGTGAGCAGAAAAGAGAAGAGCAGAGGAGAAGAGGGGAGAGAATGGGGGAGACAGTGCGGTACAAGAAGCAGAAACAAAACGAAGCAGGAAGATCGCAACCACAAGTAGCCATCAGATTATGAAAGCTCGTCACATCCTACCACTCTGCTCTCTCCGACCGTAGTCTGACCCTGCGGGCAACTGGCTTCAGAGCTTTGAACAGGAGGAAACAACATCCTCGCCATCACCTGCGACATCTTCTCCTCCTGCCTTTCGTTCCCGCGATCGAGACTGAGCAGGTTCCTGAAAGAGGAGGCACGGGAATGCGCCTTTGCAGCGGCGATCGTATCGCTCATGCCCATATAGATCGGGCCGTCGCCAAGGAAAACTCTGTTGTTCTTGACCTTGCTGAAGGACGATGCGTACTGAAGGTTTGACAAGTGCTGTAGAAAGACGTGAGACAAGGTGTGAGGAAAGAGAAAGGAAAGATCAACAGTTGTAAGCCCAAGACATCTCAAGACAACAAGAAAGTTTCTTCTTGTAGAAGAAATGCGAGCGAACAACATTAAGGAGAAGGTAGGAGGCAGGCAGGCAGGCAGGCAGGCAGGCAGGAAGTGAAAGAGCAAGAGCAAGAGCAAGAGCAAGAGCAAAAGAAGAAGATGAAGGAAAAGAAAGAGACAATACGGTAGCAATCATACAACAACGACGATACCCTGTGCAACGAAGGGTCCCTCTTCATCGTAGAAGTCTTGGGAAGCAGATCAGAAGCGCTCCCAAGGTCCTCCTCCTGAGAGTCGCTCATGTTTCCCGTGCTGCCCATCAACTCAACGCCTGAGTCCGCGTCCGCATGACCGTCCTTGCCGTCCACTGCGATGGATACATGGAGGCCTTTGCTCGGGTGGGGGAGAGCGCTACTGGCGAAGTTGGAGTCGTTCTCAACGCTCTGCAAGACGGAATGGAACCTCTCTAGGGAGGGGTTGAGCGAGTAGAACATGTTGAGAGCCTCGTCGTTCCCCTCCTCCACGTTGATGAGGCATGTCTCTACCGACGTCCCGTCTGCCATGGTCATGGCAGGTGCCGGCTCCGTGTTCCATTCCTGGCGGAGCAAGTCTGCGGTGGAAGAGCTCAGGTGGACATGCGAAGCAACTCCTTTCTCTTCCAGCTTGCTGGCGATCTGAAAGTTCGAGCCGAAGACGAGGAACCTGGGGAGGTAAGAACCCAGGACTGCAGCCATCACATCGCCGCTGTGTATGCCGATGCGTACCTGTTGGAGGAAGTTCAGGGGCGTGCGATGGGGAATGTGTTGAGAGAATCATATGGATCAAGACAAGGAAAGTTCAGCATCATCTTATCTCAAGACAGCATGTCAACATTGTGACCACCTCGTCAACATCAAACACAAGCTTCAGAAGCGTTCAGAAGCAATCAACGGAGCGTCAATGCTCAAAAAGCGAGACGAACAACTTCTGTCAAATAAGATCGAAAGCTAGTCTAGGGCAAAGATCACGGCAACAACATTCTGCAAACAGTTCTGACGAGTAATACCTCCAACTGAATCCCAACAGCCTTCGAGATCGACTTGGCGATCTTGACGATGGAGCATCCCAACAACACTGCTCGATCCGCATGATCGCGACAGGGCTGAGGACCTCCTGCTACGGCGATGTAGCAATCCCCGATCGTCTCCACCTGCACACCGATCAACGAGACATCGCACGTGAACAACAAGGAACATGCAACGTCCAACACAGCACGGGAGCAACCTTACCCCTCAACCTCCTCCACCCCTGAGAGAAAATCTCACCTTCCATATCTTGCCGATCGTCTCTGCTGCAAAGTCGATAGAGGAGAAGAGGGCGTTGAGCAGGTCGATCAACTCGGTAACGGGGAGGGTGGACGAGATAGAGGAATATTTGACAATGTCCATCTGGAGAATGCTACAGTCCTCGCACCCTGTCAGGGAGTTGGTGTGCCAGTCTGAAGGGTTCATCTCGAAGAAGACTCTCGCCGCAAACTTGGGAACCAGGCTCGTGATGAGCTTTTTTGACCTCATGTTCCTCCTCCGGATCTTCGACTCCAGGCAAGTCACAACCTTGCAACGCTCCTCTACCCACTCGACCATCTGCTTGTAGATCAACAGCACAAGGAACGGGCAGGCGATCTGGTTCCCAATGTACATGATCGTAAGGAAAACACGGCTTGTTACACACTCCTTTCGTGGCATCACATCGAAGTAAACAACCACAACAAAGAAACTGCATCGAAGGAGAACAGAAATCAGGAACGCTCGCGCGCTTGTCTTCTTCACATCATCCCCCAAGAAGTACGTCTCCTCCTCTCTCGCCCCTTCCCGCCGATCAAAGTTCACCCTCGTCCCTAGGTTGATCACAGCCGCCGGGCCCAGCACACTCCAGATCAGCACGCCGCTGCTGCATCCGTTCTGCACCCCACCAAGGAAAATGTGCATGACCATCGGCAAGAACCCCACGAGCAGGGAGAGAGAGATGAGGTAGACGAAGAACAAGCTGCTGTACTTCACCTCCATCTCTCCACTTGAGCACTTGGCGGCGAAGTGCCTGAGCAGGAGCAGGCACGATATCATGACGACCACATAGAACCCCGGGATGATAGCGTCGTCATACTGCCCCATTCCGATGTACATGAGCGCTATCACAAAGGCTGCGATCGTGCTCAAGGTCCCCACGAGCAAACCAGCGGCATTGATGGCGAGCGACCTCGCTTGCGTGAACGAGAGCTGCTCCGTAGGCACTGAAGCTTGCGCACTTAGCCACATCACGATTGACCTCAGAGTTCTCCTGATGAGAGGAAGCCTATCACTCTCCTCCTGTTCCTCCAGCGCTGCCTCGATGTCGTTGGACAAGATCTGCATCGGTACGCTGCAGTCCCCGCTGGGCTCGTCGAACATGGCAGGGAACAGCGCTACTGTAGATGTAATCCTCCGGCATTCCAGCGATCGTACGGATCCTAGGGTCGTTGGGTCTGAGCCATACTGCCGCGTCGGCGACAAAGGAACTGAAGGCACCAAGTCGGATCCAGTCAGGGACAGGCGAGAGACGCGGAAAGAGGAAGATCCTAGAAGGAACGGGCGGCCAGGGACGTTTCTGAACGCGTTCCTCTCTGTGGTATCCGCATCCACGTTGGCGGAAGAGATGCCATTGGAAACATTTGTGCTTGAAAGCTCAACGGACTGAGCAATGGGCTCGACCGAAGATTGTAGACGCTGTTGCCCCGGCAGCATCGCACGCACTTTCCGGTATGCAGCGTGAACCACTCACAAACAGGTCAGAACGAGGTCACTACATGTGACCTGCATCAACACTGCAGTCATGTCAGACGTGTTCATGCATGAAGAGGGTTGGATAACCGTCTCTGCCTCCTCCCCCCTCCCCTCCTGATAAGCGGCAACAGCAGAAGCCAAGCGCATTGACCAAAAGGGACAATGAATGGGAAGGAGTCGGGGAGGAGGGCAAATGGGGGTAGTACGACAGCTCACAAAGGGGGTAGTGTGGGCACGACCAAGATCACCGGTGTTTCGAATTCGTATGAAGGGGTGGGGTGGCTGCAGAAACGTGAGAAGGGGGCAGATCTGGAGATCAACAGGGGGTGGGTACTGCAGTGCACATGATATTTACTATGTAATGTAGGGTGGGGTAGTCTGAAGCCCAGAGGGGGATTTGGTTGGGGTAGGGTTATTGATAATAAGGGGTAGGGGTACCACAAAAAAGAAACGGGGGTTGCTACCCGAGATTCTAAAATATATTATAGACCAATGACCCCACCCATGCAAGAACCGGGAAAAGTAGGTGAGGACATGGGTTGCTCTGTCCAACGGGAGATACACATGGTGGTAGGGTAGATACCCCTATTACATCAATAGATGAATATGACAGTAGGGATGTGGGGTAGGGTAGGGTACCCTACCTGACTAATACTGCGACTGCTTATTACACTCAGGGTGTGAAACGACGTGTTCTTCATGACCACACAAATCGGATAACATGGTCGGTGGGGTACTTTCAAGTCCGCCTCAGTAATCTCCGTAGCTGAAAGGAAAGTTTGCTTACAACACAAATATTCAATTAGTAGGAGGATGTTGCTGCCTCTTTGAAATTCGACGCCGAGGCGCACTTGGCCTGTGACTGAGTCGGACTCCAGTCCGAGCACCGTTGAAAAGTTCGGCGAGACCCGGGCGTTCGGCCCGGCCGCGGCGGGCCGAGTACCGTACTATGGTCACCAGGCCCGCCTCCGACGACCGACGGTCACCGTGCGTAGTAGACCAATCCAGTGACGGTATATGATGATTGCAGTGCTGCCACGTTGAAATTACACGGTGACGTTCACGCCCGGCGGCCCGCCCGGGTCTGCCGCCAGATGATGGGCCGGGCTGGACCAGGGCAGTCACGCCCGGCCCGCCGAATGGGCCGGGCTCAGCGGCTGGACCTGGCTCAGCCTCAGCAGACCTGAGTTGGGGCCTTCAGGCTCCGAGGCTCCGACAAAGAAAGGCTCGCCCCGTCCTGCTCTGGCAAGTTTACACCGTACTGTACCCACCACGTCCCTTGCGGCTTCAGTAAGTGAGCTCAGCCGGGAAGCTGAGTGACTACCGTTGTGTGAGAGGTTTGCTACTTGTATCATAACATTGAACGACAGCGTCTGAAGGCTTACACCAGCGCAGCGTTGGCCGCCTTCTCGGAGGAAGGGACGGAGTCGAGGAACTCCTTGACCTGCACAGCCGTGAGGAAGAAGCAGACCAAGGACAGCAGGAGGTAGATACGGAGAGAGGGGAAAGTGAGGGGGAGGAGGAGGGTAGGTGCGAGTGAGGAGGATGACAAGAAACATGAAGGAGCTGTTGGAACCTTGGGTGCAGTGTCGACTCCCCACTGAACGCAGTCGCCGAAGGCAACGCCAGAGACGTAGTTGCCTCCAAGGTACAGCCCAGGGCACTTGCTGAGACCGCTGTTGACCTGCCAAGCGCGTCAGTACCGGCAGTGGCCCCGCCAAGCTGAAGTACAGACCTTGCCCATAATCTCCGAGTATCCCTTGTTGTACTGGGGGATGGCCTTGGGCCACTTGCGCACTCCCAGGACCTGAAAGAGAGCAAATGAGAGGAGAAGACATCAGAGGAGAGGAGAGGAGAGGAGAGGAGAGGAAAGGAGGGGAGGAGGGGAGGAGGGGAGGCGACGGATAGACCGAGTGAGCATCGGTAGATGGAAAGGAGAAAAGGATTCCTGACTCTGTTGGAGTGGATGGTTGGAGGAAGAGGGATAAGGAATCCGGGTAGAAGCGATTGGGAGGGAAGGGGGGCGCGTCGGGGATTGAAACGGGTACTAGGCGGTGAATCGGAAGAGGAGAGCAACAACGGAGCTGCAGTACGAAAAGAAGTCGCTCTTACCTTTGGCTCAGGAGCTCCTTCCTTGAGGAGGATCTTGCTGACGTCACCATGGACAATCTTTGCCACCTGATGGGCCCATCCTTCAGCACCTAGGTGAAGGAACAGGACAGAGAAAGACCTCTTCCTCCGAGAGCTCGGCGATGGGAGGGTTGTAGCGGAGAGGGTCCTGGGCTCCTCCGATGTAGCTCAACATCATCTCGTAGCCCTCGGGAGCACGGTAGGGGAAGAGCGAGGAGGACCAGATCGTTCCCAAGGTACGGATACCCATGCTGCCCAGCAGGCGTCAGGGCAAGAGTCAAGAGGGAGTCAACGATGAGGAGGGGAATAGATGGCAGGATCTGGGGAGTTACAGGGGGCGAGAGCGAGAAAAAGGAAGGAAAGGAAGGTGTAAAGCTTGCGAAGGAAGGAAAGGGGGGGATAATTGCAAGAGCTGAAAAGGAGTAGAAGGAGAACACACCTGCGGGGGATGAGGTTTCCGAACCCGAAGAGCCTCTTGCCTGCGCGGAGCAAGTCATCATCTGAGCGCTGAAACAAGCTCCTCCTCGTCTCGACTCACCGAGGCCCGGTCTCTCTTTGCGAACCTCGTCCTTGAGGCACTCCTTGGGGTAGGCGAGAGTGACGGAGTAGACGCACGGGTAGTGGATCTCTTCAAGGGCCTTGCACTCAGGCACAAGCTCGGAGAGCATGCCCACGGTAGCATGAGCAGGAGCAGTCACGGCCACAGTCTTGGACCAAACCTCCTTGGAACCCTGGGGGGTCGAAAACTTGGTGACGTATCCCCCATCCTCTCCCTTGGAGATGGACTCAACCTTCCAGCTGGTCCTCAGGCGATCTCCGAGCTTCTCCTGGGCAGCCTTGGGGAGACTGACAAGACCCTTCCTGAAGGAGCCGAGAGCCCCTCCCTTGTAGGTTGGCAGCTCAGGGTCATAGTTTTCCCTGGCCTCCTTGGCCCTCTCCGCCTGGCGGATGATGCCTCCCTCGATCAAGCTTGGGGTCATGCCGAGGTCCTCGAGCGCGTAGATCTTCTTGAAGGCCGAGGCCATGGAGAGCTTGGTGGGGTCACCCGCGTACACTCCCGACACGAAGGGGTCGATCATCTTCTTGAACACTGCCTCGCCAAGGTGTCGCTCGATGAAGTCCTTCACTGACTCCTCGTAGTCTGGCTTCGGCGCATGCAGGCCGATCGCTCCGATTCCAGCTCGGATCTTCTCGGGGATGGAGAGCAGGCGGAAGAACGGCGCATCCTCGGGCTTGGAGGGGAGGGGGAAGAGCTCTTTCTCCCAGTACACACATCTAGGAAGGGTGTGGTCAGCAAACACAAGCTCGTCCTTCAAGCCAAGATCGACAGCAAGGCGCATGATCTGGCGAGTGGGCTGGAAGGTGTTGGGTCCTTCCTCCCAAAGAAACCCGTCCTGCTCTCTGGTGATCACGTTTCCTCCCACCACGTCCCTTGCTTCAGTAACAAGGACGTTGACGCCCTTCTGGAACAGGGAGAACCCAAGAGAAGAGCCGCTCACGCCGCTCCCAATAACAAGTGTGTCGTACTTCTCCATGCTCCCCGCTCCCCATCCTCCCGCAGATTGCATCCCTCGAACCCCAGCTCCGAACCGAGCCGACCTTCCCCGGAACTGGACCGAGCTGTCTCTAGCGCCTCTTACAGAGGACTTGCCGGTCCATGAGCAGGAAGGCATCCTGAGGAGAGCAGGAGAGCTCAGCATGGACGGGCTGGTCACCCAAGCCTTCGTCCTCACCGCCGCCATCGTCACCATCAGCAAAACCTGGCGGGACATGGCCATGCCCTTGGAAGAGGTACCTGTCGGCCTCCTTCCTTATTAGCCCTCACTTGTTCTATTAAAGAATATCTTTCTAAGATTGCGGTACAAAAATAGCCTAATATTCTCTATTGAATCTTTGTGAAGCCTATCGACTGGGGCGGGCTCGATAAATCCCGTCATAAGAAAAACCGTCAATAACGATCTTGATAACGGTGAGAATTTCTGTAACGAAGTGTAGACCTGAATCGATTAAACCGCCTATGGGGACGATTGGACGAGTGAATAAATCGGTTCGAACCGTAAGAGGGTGATAGAGTCTGGGCCGTTGACCGCAGATTGGGGGTCGATGGAGGCGGAGGGGTGGAGAGTGCCAGGAGAAGGGAGAGGAGGAGGAGGAGGAGGAGGAGGAGGAGGAGAGGGAAGTTGAGGAAGGTCATGAGAGAACGAGAGGATCAGCAAGGGAGCATAATGGACAGAGGGTCTGCTGAGAACTCGAGGAAGAGGGGCAGCGGCTGGTCGAGAACGGTGTTCGACTAGTGAAACTATGCCAAGGAGCAACGGAGGGAAAGTGGTAAGTGGGCAGAGGGAGTGAGGCAGAGGTAAAGCTGCGGGAAACCTCAATGGAGGTGCAGGCAAGAAGGGCTGCCGAAGAGGAGTACGCCATCTTTGTGCCCAAGGACGCGAGGGTAAGCAGATGGTGGGAGAGTGTGGCCAATGCGACTGACTTGGTGATGGTTTCCTCCAGGAAGCAAAGTTTTCCGAGCAGGTAGCGTGCTGTCTCGCATCGAGATCAGTATGACGTGCTTCGTGCCTGCAGTTCACGAGCCAGCTGGATTGGCAGATATATCGTTCAGCACAGATCCCTGGGCCGGCAAGTTTTCTTGTCCTTGTGGAGGGGGGGGGGATGGAAGGCAAGGGTCTCACTTGACTTCGACGTAGGGCTCCTACATCGCATCCAACGAGTATGAGCTCCCCAAGGGAGGGACGTGGTCCAAGTTCAAGACGAAAGGTGTCGACCCTCCTGCCGAACCCTGACTTAGTCGTGATTCCCTTCCTATCTCTTCCGTCCCTGCCTCCCTCCTCACCCTCTCCTCCCACCCCCTCCTGTCTCTTCCCTCCATCTCTCCTCCATTCTCCTCTCTTCCCGCTCCCTCCTCTCCTCCTTTCTCCTGACTCTCACAGCCCCGATCTGCATTCTTGTATTCTTTCTGTCCTCGCAGCCGTCGCTGACGCTGATTCTTGTCAGGTTACTGCGATGATGTGATCCGTAAGGTGATTGCGCGAGAGATCAGAGAATTGAGAAAATCATCAAGCAAAATCATCGATGCCATCTAAGAGTCTTCTACATCTTCTCTTTCACTATCACTGTCGTCATCGTCATCTCCATCGTCGTCGTCGTCGTCGTCGTCGTCATCATCATCATCATCATCATTATTACCATCATCATCATCATCATCATCATCATCATCATCATCATCATCATCATCATCATCATCATCATCATCATCATCATCATCATCATCATCATAATCATCATCTCCTCCTCCACCACCACCACCACCATGTGGAAACAAACTCAGTGATCATTGC